GTGCTGGGATTAAAGGTGTGTGCCACCACCGCCCGGCCTTATTTAGTAAATTTTTGGTGTTTGTTTGTTTGTTGCTTTGTTTTGCTTTGCTTTGCTTTGGGGTTTGTTTGTGTGTTTGGTTGGTTGATTTGGTTTGGTTTTTCAAGACAAGATTTCTCTGTGTAACAGCACTAGATATCCTGGAACTTACTCTGTAGACCAAGCTGGCTTCAAACTCACTTACCTCTCCCTCCCAAGTGCTAAGATTAAAGGTGTGCGCCACCACACTTGGCCCTATTTAGATCATTTTTATAATCCTCCTGCTCCTGGAGTTTCCACAGAATTTTGTTGTTTGTAGGTCCTCTGTTCCCTGAAGAACATAGAGAGCACCTCCCACATTGCAGGCACCAGCTTAGAAGCAGAATTACTTAGGATACAGCTTCTCTCAGTCCTGCTTGTAATCACACTGGGCTCCTCTGCCCTGAAACCTTCACTCCGTGACATAAACTATATTGTCACATACTTGGCAGGAAAATCATTGCTTAATGGCCACAGGCAGCCACTGAGTAAAGGCCCTCAGCCGTTTGTCTAGTAAAGAGCCTCCATAGGTGACTGCTTCTTCAGATCAGAATGAGGCAGAATGATGAGTGTTTAGTCTCTGCAGGAGAGAGCTCAATATGGTCATTACTGCCTCCGCGGCCTCCACCCCATGCCTGAGAGTTCCAGCAACAAAGTCACGACATCCAATATCAGAGTCCACCCACGAGGGGCCTTGCTAGGAACAGAGCAGTAACCAGAAGGTATCAGCAGCCTGACTTCACCATGGGTCCACATCCCTGGCAGAAGCTGCTGCGGCAATCCCAGTAACTCAAGAGGGAGAGGCAGGAAGATCAGGAGTTCAAGGCTAACCTCAGGACATAGCAACTTCCCAGGCAGCTTGGGCTACAAGACATCCTGACTAACACTTTTTTTTTTAAAGAACGATCCCTTGCAATAACCTGTTAAGAAGCACGCTGGATGAAAAGAGCGCATTCATAATGCCAACACAAAGAAGAGCTGTTCAGAAATCCATTAATGAGAGTCTTATAAATCCTCTCTAAATGAAAGATGTGGGCTTGAGGAACATGACAGGCTTGAATAAACAGAAAGATACATGTTGTACGGAACAAAAAAGAACAGCGCTGTGCCCAGTGCAGTAGGCAAGTGTGTAATCCTAGTATTCTGGAGGTAGGTGGGGGACTGGGAGTTTACAGTCATCTTTGGTGCATAGAGAACTGGAGGCCATCAGGGGTAGGCATATCTCTTTGGGTTTGTTGGATGTCAGCATGGTTAACATAGTGAGAACATGTATGTGTGAGAAGATGCTTCCCTAATTTTTGCCAGATATGTATTGCTGTGGAATATTATTTTAACTGTGCAAAAAGATGTGTTATATTTGTTTGTGGTGTGGAATATTACTTTAACTGTGTAAAAGGTGTGTTACATTCGTTTATGCTGCATTTGTTTAACGATGTAAGGATGTGTATTTAATTATGTAAAGATGTGTTGTATCTGTTTCCCCTTGCCTGCCTAAGACATCTGATTGGTCTGATAAAAAGCTGAACAGTCACTAGCTAGGTGGAGAAAGGATAAGTGGGGCTGGTGGACAGAGAATAAATAGGGGAGAGAAGCCGGGCGGTGGTGGCGCACGCCTTTAATCCCAGCACTCGGGAGGCAGAGGCAGGCGGATCTCTGTGAGTTCGAGACCAGCCTGGTCTACAAGAGCTAGTTCCAGGACAGGCTCCAAAACCACAGAGAAACCCTGTCTCGAAAAAAACAAAATAAATAAATAAATAAATAAATAAATAAATAGGGGAGAGAAAAAGAGAGGGAGAAAGAGAGAGACATGCCGGGGGCCAGAAGCCAGGCAGCTAGCTGCCAGACAGACCCGATCAGCAGTGAGAGTAAGACACACAGGAGGAAGGAAAAGGCTGAGGCCAAAGGCAGATAAAGAGAAACAGGTTAATTTAAATTAAGTGAGCAAGCCGGATATGAGCCTAAGCTAGGCCGAGCGTTCATAACTAATAAGTCCCTGTCATGATTTGGGTGCTGGTTGGTGGCCCAAAAGCAAAAGCCTGGTATTTTCATAGATAGACAAAACCTTCTGTCCTGTCCTCCCTTTCCAACCCCAACCTCTCTGCAGAGCCCGTGCCAGTGGGGTGATTTTGAATGTTTTATGTGGCTCTCCCAGGAGGCTAAGAAAGCAACACTAAAAGTCATCTGGCAAATAAATAAGTGACAAGAGGCAATAAACCTCTTAACAGGGTCATCTTACTAGGTGGCAAAAGCAGGTTGAAGCTGAGGCAGCTTGGTCTGAGCTCCAAAGTCGGCAGAAAAATCAATGAGACACACCGGACCGGACATGGACCCGCTCGCTGTATGTGGATGTTTCAAATACTCTCAAAGTGGTGCTAAATCAATGGGGAAATAGCACAGGAGAAAGGGAACCATTCACAGAGCAATTAAATATGGATCCAAACCTTTTCCTTTTCATCAGAATTAACTGCGGGTGGGTTCAAAATGGAACCCTCAAAAAAAAAAAAAAACAGGACCATTGAGCTTATGGGGGGCGGTATGCATTCATTAATCTGAATCTTTAAAATGTAAAGCGCCCTTGTGGCAAACATACAGCTAGACAATAGATAACCTGGGGGAAATATCTGCACCACAATGAGAGACGATACCCTTCACTAGGGAAAAGGACTAGAAATCCATAAAGCACACAGAGTGAACCCAGCAGAGACACCGAGATCCATGCAGGATAGACACGTGGGAAGCCCATCTCAACGCTTGACAGTTAAAATACAAATTAAGATGAGAGGAAAGTGTCAAATGATTAACAAAGACACCGGGAAGTGCTCTTGCAGGTGGGATTATTTGTGGAAAGGGAAATTGCTGGAGCCTTTCAGGGTGGTGATTTAACAAAAGTCATCAACATTTTAACTGCTTACGCCAATCAAGCCAGCAATTCTACTTCTAAGGATTGATCTCTGCGGTATTTTCTCGACAAGGCAAAAAGAAAAAGAAAAGAAAAGCTAGGACTGAAGGTGGCTAGGATGGAGGGTGCCTAGGACAGAGGCTAGCAGCCTGGATTGGGTGGCTGGAAGAAGCTCTGGCACTGCTTGCAAGAGAACAAGAGTCGAGAGCTGGGCTGGTCTTGCTAACGTTACTTATAGATACATTAGTGTAACTATACAATCCTGGATGGGGGTAATAGAGGGAGCTGGCTGCAGGCAGCAGGCTAGAGCCTGGCGGCGAATGAGATGACTGCCTTCTGCACTTTTATTTACTACGCCGTGGGGACTTCTTTTTTCTTTAACCTTTCTATTTTTTGTTTACTTTAATTTGGGTGTGTGGTGTTTAGTGTTTGTGGGTGTCCATGAAGGCTAGAAGAAAGCATTATGTCCCCTAGAACTGGAATTACATGTGGTTGGAAGATGCTCTACTCGGATATGGGGATCTGGCTCAGGTTTCCTGAAAGAGCACAGATAGGTGCTCTCAACCACGGAGGTCTCTTACCTCCCCAAAGCTTTTTATTTATTTTTTATTTTTTAAAATATTTATTTATTTATTTATTATGTATGAAATATTCTGCCTGTGTGTATGTCTGCAGGCCAGAAGAGGACACCAGACCTCATTACAGATGGTTGTGAGCCACCATGTGGTTGCCAAGAATTGAACTCAGGACCTTTGGAAGAGCAGGCAATGCTCTTAACCACTGAGCCATCTCTCCAGCCCCTCCCCAAAGCTTTTTAAAAATAAAAAATTGTTATTTTATGCATATAAGTATTTTACCTGAATGTATGTGTTAGAAATAAGCTTAAGATCACACACACACACACACAAAAAGGCCATCACTTCAACTGAAGTGTCTGGACAAGGCAAAAGCTTACTCCTGCGTGCTCTAGAGGGTGCGTGCTCAAGTCGGGAGTGGCAGTACACACCTTAAATTCCAACACTGGGAGGCAGAGGCAGGTGGATCTCTGTGAGTTGGAGGCTAGCCAGGTCTACACAATGAAATCCAGGACAGCCAGGACTACACAGTAAGACTTTGTCTCAAAAAACAAAACAAACACACAAGGTGGTTTACTCCAAAGAACAATCACAGAGCCAGGAAGGGCAGTTGTTTTTTTGTTTGTTTGTTTGTTTTTTGGTTCTTGTTTTTTTTTGTTTTTCCAGACAGGGTTTCTCTGTGTAGCTTTGGAGCCTGTCCTGGAACTCGCTCTGTAGACCAGGCTGGCCTCAAACTCACAGAGTAAAACTCTGCTTCCCAAGTGCTGGGATTAAAGGCACGTGCCACCACCGCCCACCTGGGCAGTTGGTTTTTACTCTAGCCCAGGTGACTGTCTTTCCCCCACTTGCTGCCATCTGCCCTTGCAGTCTTATTGACTAAACCCTAAAAGAATTGAGGCACAGGAAATGAAGGAGGAAAGGGAAGGGGCCACTACTCTGGCCATCAAATTCCTGGAATGTTGTGGCCCATTGTGCAATCAAAAGTTTGAGGGGGGGGCAAACATTTGCATAAAGATTTCAAAAGGTGGGGGAGAGAAAAAGTTTCGATTTCCTGACCTAGACACACGTTTTAAAGTATTTGATAAAAGAGACTCGTATTTAATATTTCTTTCATATATGTGGACTGCATGCTTGCCTGGCACCCCCAAGGAGGCCAAAAGAGTGAGTCAGATCCCCTGGAAGGGAAGTTACAGGTGTTTGCCAGCTGCCACGTCCCCCACCTTTAAAAAATAAAACAAGCCGCGCGGTGGATCTCTGTGAGTCTGAGGCTGGCAGCCATCACCCTGGACCAGCTGCAGAGGCCTAGGTGGCCACTGAGGCTGCAGATCTGCAACGCCAGTCATCACCAGAAGGAAACCCGCCCTCTCCCCTAGGCCTGAAGGGGCACAGAGCACCGCCCTGCTCTGCAGGTTCCTGCCTGTCCCTGCCACGTGACTTCGCAGAGGAGAAGCCAGAAGCGCTATCCTCACCTGGTGTGTCCCTGGAGGCCCCGGAGGAAGGTGACAGCCGTGACAGCTCCTCCAGCTGCTCCCGGCTGCCTGTCATTCTGCCACTCATACCCCAGGCGTGACATTGTGTGGGCAGGAATAGGTGGGGGCTTCCATGTTCTTCCCTACGGAAGCAAAAGCTGAGAGCCCAGCTGGGAACTTTTGGTGGCTGCAAAGAAAGTCAGCCTGAGCGGGAGGGGAGGGGCTCTCTGACAAATCAGGTGAAAAAACACGAAAGGCCCTAAGAGAAAGCCCAGAAACCCCACTTCTGTGTATTTTACGCTAATGCAAGTGCGCCCAGGAACATGAGGCATAAGCATGCGCTCTTAGAGTCCTGGCTGGAAGCCAAGCAGCCGGAAGGGCTAATTGTGAGCCGTGAAGGACCGGTCATGGCTGTAGTCTAACCTGGCAAATGCTCTAAGAAGAGGAGTTGACCAGGGTTTTTGTGGAAAACTGCGTTTTCCCTCCCTCCCTTCTTCTTTTAAGATTGTGTGTGTGTGTGTGTGTGTGTGTGTCTGTGTGTGTGTGTGTGTTCATGTGGGTACTCACACTTGACACACTGAGTCATTTCCCTGGCTTTGCTTTTTCTTTTAATGGAAAAAAGATATTTATAGGTTAGGGTTTGGATTTATTTATTTATTTATTTATTTTTGTCTCTTGGAGGACATTTTGTGAAACGGTCAGTATAGCCTCAAACTAGATAAAAGTAACCAAGACTGGGCTTGAACTACTAGTCCTGGTCTCCACCTCCTCCAGTCACAACAGGACACAGACAGTAGCCTTAGCCCATCCCCTGCAGACTTCTCCAGTCCCACACATGGGTCAGCGTGAGTCTACGTATATCATGGTGGAATTGTCTTTAAGTTTTTTTTACATGTATTTATCATGTGTTTGTGTGTAGATGGGCACGGGTCAGCGTGAGTCTACGTATATCATGGTGGAATTGTCTTTAAGTTTTTTTTACATGTATTTATCATGTGTTTGTGTGTAGATGGGCACACGGCTGCACACGTGCCAATGCAGACATACGGAGGTCTCGGCTCTCCCGACTTCCACCACATGCCTTCTGGCACTTGAACTCAGGTCACCAGGATTGGCACGAGGGCCTTTACCCATGGAGCCATTTCACAGGCCCTAAGGAACTGTCTTTTAATGAACACACTTGTATGTAGAGGGAGATGGTGGCTGAGAGATTTGACCCTGAGAGCCCCTTCTCCCATGTCTCAGTGGTTTCTTTCTTTGGGGGTTAAGGTGGAATTTTGTTTATTGTTGTTGTTTTTTGTGGGGAAGTGCTTTTTTTTTTTTTTTTTTGGTTTTTCGAGACAGGGTTTCTCTGTGGCTTTGGAGCCTGTCCTGGAACTAGCTCTGTAGACCAGGCTGGTCTCTAACTCACAGAGATCCGCCTGCCTCTGCCTCCCGAGTGCTGGGATTAAAGGCGTGCGCCACCAACGCCCGGCTTTTTTTGAAATGGTATAATGTAGCCGAGGCTACAACTCACCAGAGAGCCTGGGTGGCTGACTCCCAGTGTGGCCATTCCTGGGGGACCAAGCCACCCCTCCTAGAAGAAAAAGCCAGCTACCACTGGAAAAGAAAGAAGTCTGTATTCCAAGAGACACACACAGACCTCCATCAGAGCTCATTGGCCCAGCCAGGGTGACACTGTGGTCCGCTCTGATCAGCCAGAGGCCAGAGGTCACAGGAACCTGATGAGGAACCAGAGATGGGGCTGACAGGCGCTACAGGTTGGACCTGAGGCTGGGAAGCCAGAGGGAAAATGAGCGAATGAAGGAAGGTGTGGGACATAGCCCTAAGGGACCATGGGCTGCAGCCTGGAACCTTCTTCCTAGTTGCCTTCCCTGGCTCGGGCAGCTGGGCTCCAGGCAATTAGAATGGGTAGTCTAAATCCTATAAAGTCGGCCACTAAGCCAGCACACAGGGAAGTCTCCAGGGAAGGTAGGAAAGAAGCCATCAAAATGACAGAGGCCTGCCTGCCTTCTATGGCTGGGGCTCCTTCCTCCGCCCAAGTCTGACTGGGCAGCCAGGACCTGGAGGAAGAGAGAGGAGCCAGGACTGAGTTCTAGCCCAGGGAGAAACAATGGCTCAATACTAACACCAGAAGGTGGTGCCCATTTTCCAGAACCCAACACATTTTACACCCCGACAACCAGGGGGAGGTTCTTCATTGAGCCCATTTCACAGATGGAGAACCCTAGCCAGGCTCCGAACTGGTCTGATTTCTTCTGCTTAGATTCACTGGATCCACACCCACTCCTGGATCTGCTCCTCAAGTCTGGTCCCCATACTTGGGAGCCAATTAGCAGAGCAGAGAGGGCAATGTTGAGTTGGCACCTGGGAAGTCCTAAGCAGCTAACCACTAGAGTTCTAGAGACCATGGCCTTCTGCCAACCACACAGTCACATGGCCTGAGCACGGTGGCACTGTCTCACCAACTGCGACCCTCGGTGGCTGCTAACTGCACCCAACTGCAGGCCTGATGTCTGGGTCTCAGGGTGACCTTGGTTGCCCAGAATGAGGATATGTGCCGGGTGGGCATGCAGGACCCTTCTGGAAGGGTAGGGAATCTTCCTGTTTCCCAGAAGTCTGGGCAGGCTGCCTACTGAGGGGGGAGACCAGGAACCCCACCGAGGGTGGCACAGGCATGCACAGGGACAGCTCTCTGAGAACCAGCCACAGTCGGTCAAATAATATCAATAATATCCATAATATCATTATCAAAATACCACAGTTACAGTATGGTGATTATTTTTTTCTTGAAGTCCTGTCTTTTGAAGCCCTGGGCAAGTTACCTGCTGAACCATCTTGCTGACCCCACATTTAGCTTTTTTTTTTTTTAAAGATTTATTTATTTATTATGTATACAACATTCTGCCTCGATGTATGCCCGCACGCCAGAGGAGGGCGCCAGATCTCATTACAGATGGTTGTGAGCCACCATGTGGTTGCTGAGAATTGAACTCAGGACCTCTGGAAGAGCAGGCAATGCTCTTAACCTCTGAGCCATCTCTCCAGCCCTAGCTTCTTTTTTTTTTTTTTTTAATATATACAATATTCTGTCTGTGTGTATGCCTGAAGGCCAGAAGAGGGCACCAGACCTCATTACAGATGGTTGTGAGCCACCAAGTAGTTGCTGGGAATTGAACTCAGGACCTTTGGAAGAGCAGGCAATGCTCTTAACCTCTGAGCCATCTCTCCAGCCCCTCACATTTAGCTTTTTTATGTGTGTTCTGAAGATCAAACTCAGGTCTAACAGGTGTTTATCAGTCTCTAGACAGTGTGACCCTTTGGGCTCAAATGACCCTTTCACAGGAGTGGCATTCCAGTTATTTACTTTATGACTATTTTTAAAATTTAGTTAAACTCACTTTTATGTGCATTGGTGTAAGGATGTCATATCCCCTGGAACTGGAGTTACAGACCATTGTGAGCGTCCATGTGAAGGCTGGGAATTGAACCTGGGTCCTCTGGAAGAACAGCCAATGCTCTTAACTGTCAGGAGCCGTTTCCTCCTAAAATTATTACAGGAACCATCGCCCTGGGGAGTCTGCAGAGAACCCCACACCCCCAATTGTATTAAGAACCGTTCTATTGACAGAGCCTACCCCACACCCAATTATCTGTTAATAGAGAGCTATTAGCGGAACCCGCCCCACATTCCAAACTATCTAGAGAACTAGGTGTGTCAACTCGTGACTTCCTGGCGTGACCAACGTGAACCACGTGACCAACGTGAACCACGTGGCAAGAGTCCAGGTCCTTGTGCCCCCCCCCCCAACTCCTTATCCTATATAAGCTGTAACCCTGTCTCCAATAAACGGAGGCTCTGACAAACCTAGCATGGCCTCCTTCCTCTCTCTCGCCCATTATCTTACAGATAGTACCTCTCCGGGAACCTGGAATTACTGAACTGCAGGGTGGGTTACAACCCCTAGACTAAGTAACCCACCCAAGGCAGTTTATACTTAACCACTGAATCATCCCTCCAGCCCGTACCTTACGATTCTTAGCAGTACCAAAATTGCAATTATAAAGTAACAACAAAGCTAATTTCATGGTGTGTGTGTGGGGAGGGGGGGGTCACCACAGTATGAGGAACTGTATTAAAGGGTCACTGTGTTCTGTCTGTTTTGTTTTTGAGGTAAGATCTCTTTATATAGTCCCGGTTGTCCTAGAACTAACTGGTTATATAGACCAGGATAACCTCAAACTCAAAGAGATCCTCCTGTCTCTGCCTATTGAGTGCTGGGATTAAAGGCAGGTGAGTCCCTCACACTCAGCCAAGCACCAGTTTTTAAGTGGCCAAAGATGGGAGCAAGTCAGGGGGAGCCAAAGTCCTGGGGGAGGGGCATTTTGTTTTTTAGACCACATCAAAGACAGCCCAGGCTGCCCTTGAACTTGCCACCCTGGTAAACCACGTGTAGTTAGGAGCACTTGCTGCTCTTCCAGAGGTACCCAGCACCCACATGGGGGCAGCGCACCACCGCCTGCAACTCCAGCTCCAGGGAATCGGACGCTTCTTCTGGCCTCCAAGGGCATCTGCATGCACATGGCATACACATGAATAAAAATCCATTTTTTAATGCTATTTTAGCTACTATCCTACAGCTGCCCTTCAGCTCCCCAAGTTGACTTTCCTCCCAACTCAGCTGCCCCTGTCACAGAGTCCCAGTCAAGAAGGGGGCAGGACCATTGAGGAAAAGGGTTTACCCTTTCAATGTGCCCTGAAGCCAAGGCAGAATGAATTCTTGCAGGTGACACCTGATGACTGACAGGTGCTCCCATCTGCAACATCCATCTTCTTATGTCCCCGCAGGCAGGCCCCATTCACACACATGACCAGAGATTACGCAAAAGCCCACACCAGCTCTGATGCGTGCTCCAAGCTTCCCTCCTGGTCAGCTATGGCAGCCCCCTGTCCCACCCCTTTTGTTCAGAGACCGGCCAGTCCCAGCTGACTGAAGTTCAGCCCGGGTAGCGGAGTGTA